AGTTAGTCTAGTCTTATAGTCTAGTCTATAGTCTAGTCTATAGTCTCAGTCTATAGTCTAGTCTATAGTCCTAGTCTATAGTCTAGTCTATAGTCTAGTCTATAGTCTAGTCTATAGTCTAGTCTATAGTCTAGTCTATTAGTCTAGTCTATAGGTCTAGTCTATAGTCTTAGTTCTATAGCTTAGTCTATAGTCTAGTCTATAGTCTAGTCTATAGTCTAGTCTATAGTCTAGTCTATAGTCTAGTCTATAGTCTAGTCTATAGTCTAGTCTATAGTCTAGGTCTATAGTCTAGTCTATAGTCTAGTCTATAGTTCTAGTCTATAGTCTAGTCTCTAGTCTAGTCTATAGTCTAGTCTATAGTCTAGTCTAATAGTCTAGTCTATAGTCTAGTCTATAGTCTAGTCTATAGTCTAGTCTATAGTCTAGTCTATAGTCTAGTCTATAGTCTAGTCTATAGTCTAGTCTATAGTCTAGTCTATAGTCTAGTCTATAGTCTAGTCTATAGTCTAGTCTATAGTCTAGTCTATAGTCTAGTCTATAGTCTAGTCTATAGTCTAGTCTATAGTCTAGTCTATAGTCTAGTCTATAGTCTAGTCTATAGTCTAGTCTATAGTCTAGTCTATAGTCTAGTCTATAGTCTAGTCTATAGTCTAGTCTATAGTCTAGTCTAGTCTATAGTCTAGTCTATAGACTAGTCTATAGTCTAGTCTATAGTCTAGTCCATAGTCTAGTCTATAGTCTAGTCTATAGTCTAGTCTATAGTCTAGTCTATAGTCTAGTCTATAGTCTAGTCTATAGTCTAGTCTATAGTCTAGTCTATAGTCTAGTCTATAGTCTAGTCTATAGTCTAGTCTATAGTCTAGTCTATAGTCTAGTCTATAGTCTAGTCTATAGTCTAGTCTATAGTCTATAGTCTAGTCTATAGTCTAGTCTAGTCTATAGTCTAGTCTATAGACTAGTCTATAGTCTAGTCTATAGTCTAGTCTATAGTCTAGTCTAGTCTATAGTCTAGTCTATAGTCTAGTCTAGTCTATAGACTAGTCTATAGTCTAGTCTATAGTCTAGTCTATAGTCTAGTCTATAGTCTAGTCTATAGTCTAGTCTATAGTCTAGTCTATAGTCTAGTCTATAGTCTAGTCTATAGTCTAGTCTATAGTCTAGTCTATAGTATAGTCTATAGTCTAGTCTATAGTCTAGTCTATAGTCTAGTCTATAGTATAGTCTATAGTCTAGTCTATAGTCTAGTCTATAGTCTAGTCTAGTCTATATCAGTCTAGTCTAGTCTATAGTCTAGTCTAGTCTATAGTCTAGTCTATAGTCTAGTCTATAGTCTAGTCTAGTCTATAGTCTAGTCTAGTCTATAGTCTAGTCTAGTCTATAGTCTATTCTAGTCTAGTCTAGTCTAGTCTATAGTCTAGTCTAGTCTATAGTCTAGTCTAGTCTATAGTCTAGTCTATAGTCTAGTCTATAGTCTAGTCTATAGTCTAGTCTATAGTCTAGTCTATAGTCTAGTCTATAGTCTAGTCTATAGTCTAGTCTATAGTCTAGTCTATAGTCTAGTCTATAGTCTAGTCTATAGTCTAGTCTATAGTCTAGTCTATAGTCTAGTCTATAGTCTAGTCTATAGTCTAGTCTATAGTCTAGTCTATAGTCTAGTCTATAGTCTAGTCTATAGTCTAGTCTATAGTCTAGTCTATAGTCTAGTCTATAGTCTAGTCTATAGTCTAGTCTATAGTCTAGTCTATAGTCTAGTCTATAGTCTAGTCTATAGTCTAGTCTATAGTCTAGTCTAGTCTAGTCTAGTCTAGTCTAGTCTAGTCTAGTCTAGTCTAGTCTAGTCTATAGTCTATAGTCTATAGTCTATAGTCTATAGTCTATAGTCTATAGTCCATAGTCTATAGTCCAGTCTAGTCTAGTCTAGTCTAGTCTAGTCTAGTCTAGTCTATAGTCTATAGTCTAGTCTATAGTCTAGTCTATAGTCTAGTCTATAGTCTATAGTCTATAGTCTAGTCTAGTCTATAGTCTAGTCTATGGTCTAGTCTATAGTCTAGTCTATTGTCTAGTCTATAGTCTAGTCTATAGTCTAGTCTATAGTCTAGTCTATAGTCTAGTCTATAGTCTAGTCTATAGTCTGGTCTATAGTCTAGTCTATAGTCTAGTCTATAGTCTAGTCTATAGTCTAGTCTATAGTCTAGTCTATAGTCTAGTCTATAGTCTAGTCTATAGTCTAGTCTATAGTCTAGTCTATAGTCTAGTCTATAGTCTAGTCTATAGTCTAGTCTATAGTCTAGTCTATAGTCTAGTCTATAGTCTAGTCTATAGTCTAGTCTATAGTCTAGTCTATAGTCTAGTCTATAGTCTAGTCTATAGTCTAGTCTATAGTCTAGTCTATAGTCTAGTCTATAGTCTAGTCTATAGTCTAGTCTATAGTCTAGTCTATAGTCTAGTCTATAGTCTAGTCTATAGTCTAGTCTATAGTCTAGTCTATAGTCTAGTCTATAGTCTAGTCTATAGTCTAGTCTATAGTCTAGTCTATAGTCTAGTCTATAGTCTAGTCTATAGTCTAGTCTGTAGTCTAATCTATAGTCTAGTCTATAGTCTAGTCTATAGTCTAGTCTATAGTCTAGTCTATAGTCTAGTCTATAGTCTAGTCTGTAGTCTAATCTATAGTCTAGTCTATAGTCTAGTCTATAGTCTAGTCTATAGTCTAGTCTATAGTCTAGTCTATAGTCTAGTCTATAGTCTAGTCTATAGTCTAGTCTATAGTCTAGTCTATAGTATAGTCTAGTCTAGTCTAGTCTATAGTCTAGTCTATAGTCTAGTTTATAGTCTAGTCTATAGTCTAGTCTATAGTCTAGTCTATAGTCTAGTCTATAGTCTAGTCTATAGTCTAGTCTATAGTCTAGTCTATAGTTAGTCTATAGTCTAGTCTATAGTCTAGTCTATAGTCTAGTCTATAGTCTAGTCTATAGTCTAGTCTATAGTCTAGTCTATAGTCTAGTCTAGTAGTCTAAGTCTATAGTCTAGTCTATAGTCTAGTCTATAGTCTAGTCTATAGTCTAGTCTATAGTCTAGTCTATAGTCTAGTCTATAGTCTAGTCTATAGTCTAGTCTTAGTCTAGTCTATAGTCTAGTTAGTCTAGTCTAGTCTATAGTCTAGTCTATAGTCTAGTCTATAGTCTAGTCTATAGTCTAGTCTATAGTCTAGTCTATAGTTAGTCTATAGTCTATCTATTAGTCTAGTCTATAGTCTAGTCTATAGTCTAGTCTATAGTCTAGTCTATAGTCTAGTCTATAGTCTAGTCTATAGTCTAGTCTATAGTCTAGTCTATAGTCTAGTCTATAGTATAGTCTAGTCTAGTCTAGTCTATAGTCTAGTCTATAGTCTAGTCTATAGTCTAGTCTATAGTCTAGTCTATAGTCTGTCCTATAGTCTAGTCTATAGTCTAGTCTATAGTCTAGTCTATAGTCTATAGTCTAGTCTATAGTCTAGTCTATAGTCTAGTCTATAGTCTAGTCTATAGTCTAGTCTATAGTCTAGTCTATAGTCTAGTCTATAGTCTAGTCTATAGTCTAGTCTATAGTCTAGTCTATAGTCTAGTCTATAGTCTAGTCTATAGTCTAGTCTATAGTCTAGTCTATAGTCTAGTCTATAGTCTAGTCTATAGTTAGTCTATAGTCTAGTCTATAGTCTAGTCTATAGTCTAGTCTATAGTCTAGTCTATAGTCTAGTCTATAGTCTAGTCTATAGTCTAGTCTATAGTCTAGTCTATAGTCTAGTCTATAGTCTAGTCTATAGTCTAGTCTATAGTCTAGTCTATAGTCTAGTCTATAGTCTAGTCTATAGTCTAGTCTATAGTCTAGTCTATAGTCTAGTCTATAGTCTAGTCTATAGTCTAGTCTATAGTCTAGTCTATAGTCTAGTCTATAGTCTAGTCTATAGTCTAGTCTATAGTCTAGTCTAGTCTAGTCTAGTAGTCTATAGTCTAGTCTATAGTCTAGTCTATAGTCTAGTCTATAGTCTAGTCTATAGTCTAGTCTATAGTCTAGTCTATAGTCTAGTCTATAGTCTAGTCTATAGTCTAGTCTATAGTCTAGTCTATAGTCTAGTCTATAGTCTAGTCTATAGTCTAGTCTAGTCTATAGTCTAGTCTACAGTCTAGTCTATAGTCTAGTCTATAGTCTAGTCTATAGTCTAGTCTATAGTCTAGTCTATAGTCTAGTCTATAGTCTAGTCTATAGTCTAGTCTACAGTCTAGTCTATAGTCTAGTCTTTAGTCTAGTCTAGTCTAGTCTATAGTCTAGTCTATAGTCTAGTCTATAGTCTAGTCTATAGTCTAGTCTATAGTCTAGTCTATAGTCTAGTCTATAGTCTAGTCTATAGTCTAGTCTATAGTCTAGTCTATAGTCTAGTCTATAGTCTAGTCTATAGTCTAGTCTAGTCTAGTCTATAGTCTAGTCTATAGTCTAGTCTATAGTCTAGTCTATAGTCTAGTCTATAGTCTAGTCTATAGTCTAGTCTATAGTCTAGTCTATAGTCTAGTCTATAGTCTAGTCTATAGTCTAGTCTATAGTCTAGTCTATAGTCTAGTCTATAGTCTAGTCTATAGTCTAGTCTATAGTCTAGTCTATAGTCTAGTATATAGTCTAGTCTATAGTCTAGTCTATAGTAGTCTATAGTTTTTCGAAAATCCTGCATAATTATTTTTGAACAAAATAAATAGAAAACTGTAAAATGTCAGATTAGAAAAGAATTTGCCATATGTATTCTCTTTAAACGGGGAAATTATTGAAAATTCTCTAAATATGACATTATTTTCAACCAATCTGCTATTTTTATATACATAATTAAAATAAAGTACTATTTCTAAATTTCATTGGTAGAATTTTTTCAATTTAATTTCTCAACCCTATTTTACATTATCAAAGACAGTAGAAATTTAAAATAAAAACTAGGTTATACGTAACACATACGTACTATATACTTTCATACTCACACACATAACTATTAAACAACGAACGATCTACTGCCTGACAAAATATTATTAGAATGATTCATGCCTTACGATCATTATTCGTCCGTCATAGAAGATTGAACGAACGTCTTCGATTCAATATTTTTTGTACTTTAAACGATCAGTTGGTTGGTTGTTTTCTCTAAAAGAAGCTACTAAGTACTAATTTTTTGAACAAAAATGTACGATCGATAATAAACAATCACTCACTAAATGTATACAGTGTAATGCATTGTTTTTTTTTTTTCTGCAACTCACTTTACTTAAGGAAAATTTGTTTGTTTTTTTAAGTCTCAATATGTCTTTATCAATTCTAGGAGATACTGGGAGCAGTTTATAAAAAATAATAACATATAGTTTTAATTTAAAGTTCTCTATACTTTTATTACGCCTTTTTTATCAAATGACGTCAAGTAAGGTTTTTTCAATACATTTTTTTTACACAAATGACGTCAAATTTAGTTTAATATAGAATTAATGAGCAATATTATTATAGTTTTAATTTATTATTGCTGCTATTTAATAATAATTGAAATGGTACGTATTATGATTACATGGTAGTCCAGCGCATAATTTTTTAATAAAAAGAAAAATATTTTCTACAGAAATTTCAGCTATTACTACGAATACGTTACCTCTTTAAAAAATACATATATAACATTTAATTCTTTATAAATTGTGTTTAAAAATACATTATGACAAAATATATTTAACCTTCTAGCAGGACGCAATAAATGCTTAATATATCTTACAAAAATATAGAATAAACTCTATAAACAATTATTATAAAATGCATAAATGTCTATTATTAAATATCCAATAATTTATGTATCTAAAATACAATTTTTAACTTTCAATAAAACAAAAACAAATATTATCGTTAAATTCAATCTGTTTCAGTAATTAATTCATTTGCATAAATCTACAGATTTAGGTTTTTGTTCAAATAATCGTAAATTTATATTCTTTTTTTATAAAAATATAAATTATTTAACAAATATTTCATATTTTGCTATATGAATTTTGTGAAAGACACAAAAAAAAATAATTTTATTCAAAAATGTTATGTCATAAAATAAAAAAAAAAAACAATTCAGTGAAGTAATTTTAACCATTGTAGACGGTTGGATGAGTCAGTAAAACGATCTCATGTGTGGTCTGCTGTTGATCAAATCCCTCCCGCTGCCAGATTTTTTTGTCTTTTGATTTTTTATTCAATCTGATTAATGTTTTTTACAGAAAGAAAGATTAGATTTGTTTTGAAATGTTTATATAATTTAAAATAAGAAATATTCTAAATTGTTTTAAAATTTTGATCAATTTCGATAATTTTTTTATCTGGAGGAATTTATCGATCAACATAAAACTTTTTGCTTAATTTTGCTAAAAGGGAATTGTGGAAAAATATTTGTCAATTTTTTGTTTATAGAAAATTGTTGATCAATTGTTATCTAAAGAAAATTAACGATCAATTTTCTGTCAATAGAGACAATTTTCTGTCGAAAGAAAATTGTTGATAAATTTTTTGTCTAAGGAAAATTGCTTGTGTAGAAGATCTAAGGAGGCTCTGAATACGAAGTTGTGCTGGGCTCAACCGAAAGGCCTCTATGCTAACCCGGCGAAGACGGAAATCTGTTTTTTACAAGAAAGAGAAAAATTTTTACGTATACTGAACCCCGCTTCCTAGGCAAGAAGATACCGGTGACAGTCAAAGTTAAGTACTTAGATGTAATCCTTGACCGGAAATTAAAATGAAGACACCAGATAGAGGATATGATCAACAAGGCACATCGGTGCTGGGCGATATGTAGGAAAACTATAGGCATGAATTGGGATCTTAGTCCAACTATGACAAATTGGCTTTATAAAAGTGTAATTAGACCAACTCTAGGTTATGCTTCAATAATGTGGACAGCTTTGGACAAAAGTGTAAGATCAAACTACTATAGGGAGTTCAGCTGATAAGTGGTATAAGTGGTGCCATGTGTACTACTTCAACCAAGACTGGCGAACTGGCCAAATGCGGTTTTAGGACATGACATCAATATATACCGTATACATTATAAGGTTGTACACAATTTTCGGACGTGCCTGGTCGCATACCAGATACAGAATATGTCGGAAACATTGAAACGCTGATCCCAGATGGAATGTTTTGGTCTAGCGAAACATTAGATCAGATACCTGCAGGAATCCGTTGCTAGACGGATGGCTCTAAATTGGGGCACAAAGTCGGCCTGGGCCAGAAACAGAAATATACCACCGTTTACATAATCATAACACAAGCTTCTAGGCAGAAGTCTGAGCAATAACGGAATGTGTAAATTGGATTAGAATAAATATGGCGCCCACAGGGCTTAATATATTCACCGACAGCCAGAAGCCAATTAGGGCGATATCAGTTGATAGAATTAAATCTAAGACCATATTGGATTGTAAGAAAGCTTTAACTGAATACTCTCCCATAGGTAAGGTTTACATCATATGGCTACCAGGCCACTCGGGAGTAGTCGGCAACGAAAGGGCGAATGTAATGGCTTTAAATGGAAGTGAGCTCGAAGTAGTTAACCTGACGAACTCAAAACCTCTTAAAATAATGAAACGGTGGGTAGAACCACAAAGATCCTATGGGGTGACCCTGATGAGAGCAAGACGAGAAATCTCCTCAATATGAGCAAGTCTGAGGTTAGTACGATGGTACGAATTCTGACTCAGAATACGTACCATCAGAATTTCTGAGTGAACACACAGGATTACAAGCACATCTATACAAATGTGCTTGTAATCTGGACGAGCGGATTCAGACGAATATATAGCATGTGGAGAGGACAGTGAAACTCTGGACTAGTTTCTGACCACAGTCAGGCTTTCGTCGAAGTTAGATCCAAGTATCTGGGAAGTGATGTTATTCTGGAAATAACATTCCTCACTAACACTGATTGGAAAATTCTTAGGAACTACGTCCAGGAAACTGAGTTCCTGAACATTTAAAAATAATACATTTTTATTTTTTCATGAAAGGGAGCGCACAATAGGCCCGATAGTAGCCTAGGTGTATTTCTTCGGATTTGATGTAGTATATCAACCTAAGGAAAATTGTAAATCAGTCTTTTGTCTATAGAAAACTAACGATCAATTATCTGTTTATGGAAAATTATTAAAAAATATTTTGTCTATAAAAAATCCACCTATTTGTGGTCATTTTGGATGAATTTTCTATCCCGAACCAATTTGCCCTTTGTCTAGAGAACATTTTTAATAAAATTTCTGTTTAGAAAATTTTTATAAATTTTCTGTTTAGAAAGTTTGTATCAAAATTCTGTGTAGAAAAATTTTTTTCAAACTAAAAAGTTTTAATAAATTTTCTATATCTTGAGTCTTTAGAACATGTTCTAGGACCTTTAGTGGTTATTTATAATTATTAATCAAATACTAAATATAAATCAAATTTCTAATAATTTTTATCGGAAGAAATTATTAATTAATTCAAAAAATATCAAAGTATAATATAATAAAACTGATTAACTAAATAGACTTTACTTCTATAAAATTATTTAATACTCATACTATATAACAGAGTTAATTTTAATTCCTTAAATCGATTCGTTTTTTCTCTCACCTGATTACGTTCTTATCTTAGCGACCTTGTTTAAATGCAATATTTTAGTCATTCTAAATTTAAAAATTACGTTTCTTGAGCGTTCACATTAATAAAATATTTGAGGAAAAAATCGTAAAAATTATTTCTATGAAATATTTAATATTATATTGATCTTATTTAACTTTTGTAAGATCCAGTTACTTTAATAAATTTTAAAATTACAATTCGTTTTTGTAGAATGGAAATCAAAACTACTGTTTTAAGTGCTCAATATTTTATTAATGTGAACTTACCTAGTTTTAGTTTATTATCAATTTTATTTTTATTATCAGTTGACAACAGTTTTTTAAAACATTGTCTATTTTACAATGACTGGCAATTTCTTGCTTTAGAAAATAAGTTTTTTTTACAATTTTTGCAGTTAGGTATATTATTTTTAGAATATGGTGAGATACAACTCTAAACACTTGAGTAAATACGATACCAATACAAAAATTATTAAAAGGGATTTTACAATTACATATTACGATAAATTCTCTACCTATTTGTTAAAATTGTGCAATTGTCAAAATTTATCTTTGATCGTTTTACATTACATTATTCCCTTCATTATATATAAACCTGTAAATATTGTAATTGTATATAAAAATATTTTTTATTTTTAATATACTCTCATTAATGTTCCAACCATAAATGGTTACAATTTAATTAGTGTAATAAATCCGAAAGTTCATTAAACTTAAAATAATTAAATATTCCCTACATTCACATCAATCTCTTCTAAATCGCAGAGTAAGTCCGTCAGACAGGCGAAACCAGGCAGCAAGCATATTTAACATTCACACTCGTCTCCGAACATTTCAGTCTATCTGTCAGACTGTCTACACCTGTTTAATTCTTTTTTTTTTGCTTTTTAATTCGCATATAAGTATATTTAATAAATCAGGAGAAAATCTCAGTATGTGTAATGTTGTAAAAAAACAGAATTATAAAAAAGATCATGTAACAATTAATACTTACTCGTAATCGTCGTAAGACGTTTTTCAGTTTTATTCTTTTGAAAAGGCTCACTCTTTCTTAAGTACATATATTTATTTTCGTTGTTTTAAGTTTTTTTTTGCGAAATAAAGTTTATTGCGCCGTAAAAATTTCAAGTCCATTCACCATCATTGTTTGTATTTATTTCAAAAAAAAAAAAAAAAATTGCTAGAATAGAGAATATTTGTATGAATATTGGTGATAATTTTATAATTATAAATTGTATTTATTTACATACAAATATACATACATACATATACATATGTATGTATATCTGTGTAAAGTGATCATGCCATCAATATTTGTACTTATTACTCTTACTATTTAATCAATTTTCTGTCACGGTAGTAAAGGAATTTCCGTTTTTAAAATACACATGTATTTTTGTAAGTATTTAACATTTTTAGTTGAAAATTTAATATGTAATAAGTTTTCAATATACATATGTCACGAATTTTAATACACAAAATAATTTAAATAAATTTAAGCATGTCTTAAAATTATTTG